AAGGCAAGATTGAGTCTTTTAACCACAATTGTAGCTGTTTTCTACAATTTCAGGTGGAAATGCTTAGAGAATGTCATTCTAGGGAGAAGACTTCTAGATTAGACTAGATGATTTTTATAATCTTTTTACTCAGAGATTCTGTGACTTAATCAGCACTGTTGTGCTCCATAGCTTATAGCTTTAGGAACTAGACTTGTTAATTAAATTACTAGCAGTTGGAAAATATGGCTATACCCAAGAGAAAGTTCAACAAGATGTTAGTATCTTCTGTTTTGGGAGATTTTTTTTTAAACTTAATTTAGAAATACAGTGTCTTTAGAGTGATCACAGCATCTTATTAGCTGTGAAAGTTAACTCATATTTTGTGATAAACAACTAATAAAAGAAAGCCTCTATTATATAAAAATGTTTGTTTCTTAAGACTGTGAGTTTCTTGAAGGCAAAGATATGGTGCCTTTTTCGGCTTGGTATCCTGACTGCCTGGTGTAGTAGAATCTGGCATGTCCTAGGTGCTTGCATGAAACTGGTCACATGAATCAAACTGTGGAATAATTGTGAAGTAACATTGTTGTCTGTCTTACAGCATTGTGAAGTTTTACGAAATCAGGGATTCTTTTAACCTACCCAAATCTTTAACCTGAGGTTCTTTGTTTTTACAGTGCTGGGGTTCCAGGGCCCAAATTTGCTAGGCAAGCGCTCTCCCACTAAGTTAACCCCCAGTTCTTAACACTGAGTATTTACTACTGAAAGAAAGCAAGCAATATGACTTAGGAAGGAGTAGGGTTTTCTTTTTTTTTGAAGGTCTTACTAAACTACATAGGCTAGTCACAAGTTTATGTACTCAAGCAATCCTCCTACCCCTCAGGAGATGGATTCTAGCTGGGTTACAGGATTACAGGAATGTACCACCACACTCAGGGGCTTTTTTTTTCTTTTTTCTTTTTAAAGTATACATATTTCTGTGTGATTTTTTTTTTTTTTTTTTTGGTACTAGGGATCGAACTCGGGTCTTTGTGTTTGTGAGGCAAGCGGCAGAACCACTAAGCCAAATGCCTGGCCCTAAGTATACATATTTCTGAAAGATTGTGAACTATTTCAATATAAAAATTTTAACTAGCTCTCAGTGGCAAATAGCTGATTTCAGGCAAGATTCAAGTTCAGTATTCAAGTAAGCAGTGCTAAAAATATACTTGTCGTTCAGTTCCACTTTTCTGTCAGGAATTTTTAGTGTTTTTAAGAGACAGTATCTTACTCTGTAGCCCAGGCTGGCCTAGAACCCATGATCCTCCTGCCTCAGCCTCCTGGCATTATAGGCATGTATCACCATGCCTGTCTTGAAAAGGATCTTGCACAAGCAAAAATGCAGAAATCAAAGTGGAGGACTGCTACAGACAGGGTGCTCATTGCTGGGTTCCTGTGGATGCATGCAGCCTGCACAGCACACAGTCTGACAAAATAGCCCAAACTCATGGATTGGATTTCATTACCATAGGACTTTTACTATTTCAGCATAATCCATGAGAAAGTTATTTGTACATTTAGTAAAGTGACAAGTAAATTAATATAAATGTCTTAAAAGAACATACTGTTTAAAGGTGCTATAAAAGTACTGTTTTCATATCAGCAGTATCAAAGACAAACTCTGCTTAGGGCAGTAGTTTCATGTACTAATTTAAAATAGTAAAATAGTTCCAGTTCATTTATTAACTCTAGCTTCTTGCAGGCAGTACTTGGTTAGACTTGTATATGTTTACTTTTATTTATTAGAAAGTAAGGCATTTAAAGATCATGATTCAGACTTCATTCCATAGCTTTGACATGAATTGCAAATGATCCCTAATTATATGAGTGATTGAGGGAGTCTGGTAGAGAACCAAGATTAATATATTATCTTGGAAGACAAGAGAGAATTTCAATGAGGAGGAAGTGGTCAATTCTAATACGAATGAGAAGAGTTAATAAAAATATGTTCAACCTGATGATACATCTTTGGCTTTTGAGATTCAGTGGAATAAAGCAATGGAGGCAGTTGGAGCTATTTGAGGGAAATGGAAGATGTGGAAAAGTGCCAATGACTTTACTACTTTTTGGAAAGGTGGCCCCTGAATGAAACCATAGGGACAGTATAGACTTACAATCTTGAATAGTGGAGATATAAAGGAGATGGTGAGAGAATACTGTGGGTCATAGATTTAGAAAGGTTGTATCACACCATTTTTTGTTTTTCTCAGTACCGGGAATCGAACTTGGGACCTTGTATTTGCAAGGCAGGCGTGGCACTGAGCTAAATCCCCAGCCCCACACCACTTTGATAATTATTCACCTTTGATCTTTTTATTGTTTTATTCCCCCAGACATTATTTTTAGTTCTTTAATAATTCATCGTGTCTTGGGCCAGGGATTTAGTTCAGTGGTTCTGCCATCTGCCTGGCAAGCTCAAGGTCCCAAGTTCAATCCCTGCTACCAAAAAAAAAATTTCATCATATTTTTAGAGTCTAAATAAATAAACATGAGAAGACTTTTCAATTCTAGGGTTAATTAGGCCACAGTTGGCATAGGTGCACGAGTCACCAAAGGTCTAAGAATTGGCATAAATGGCCTGGGATTTAACTCATTGGTTCCGCCGCTTGCCTTGCAAGCACAAGGACCCGAGTTCAATCCCTGGTACCAAAAAAAAAAAAAAGAATTGGCATAAAGAGCTAAAGGGGCAGTATAAAGTATTAAAATTAGAAGAGGAGGGCTGTTTTGTGTAGAACAAATAGACAGATACATCTCTACATTTAATTTAGAAGACTTGATTTAGATTTCTCTGTTGTCAGTTTTTCACAATAAAGGAGCATATAAAAAATGATGTTAGCTATCCTGGAAGCTGCTAGCTTTGTAGTGCCCTTGCCATCCTAGCACTAACAGTTAAATTTCAGCTTATGTTACTTCTGTGTATCAGCTTGTCATCTGTACACAGTTCTTAGCAAACTGGTTTTCTATTAGTGGCGAGAACAGGATTTGGGTAGCTCTAAAGAATGATGGTTATGTCTAGGAAGACTCACAGAGCTTAGTACCTGTTCTTGGAAACTAGATGAGTGCTTAAGAAAAACAGCTGACAGCTGAGATACAGAAGTTTTAACTGTTAAAATTGTGGTTGAATTATACTTGGTATGTTTTCGCCTGTCAGATCAATTCCGTAATGAAGTTTTTTGAGAAATCTATTCTGGCTGTTATTTTATTGGGAATTATTGAGACTTGTAAATGGCCCAAGAAGGCAGTATACACTTTAAAACTGGGTAGCTGGAGGCTGTCGAGGATGACCCTAAGCAAAATTGTGAAGATTTATCATCCCTACAAGTAACCATAGTTTTCCTCTCCTGTGATGTGTTCTCAGTAAAGGGTCTGATCAGTTCATTTACATTAAGGACTATAATGGGGGGTATATTTCTGTGTGACTTAATTTGTCTAGAGGATTTGATTTTTATGCAAGAGGCAATGTCTTCAATTAAAACTTATTGACTGTCTACTCAGTTTTTGGTCATTTTATCAATACTAGCTTTCTATTCAGCAATTAAGAAATCACCCTTTTATAAAGTTCAGTCTGGTCATCAAAGTTACAACATTCTAATTATGGAATTCTACAAGCCACTAAGCCCAATGAGAACAGAATTTTGTTATAGGGGTTTTTTGTTTGTTTGTTGGTTTTTTTGATAGGGTCTCAACATGTAGTTCAGGCCAGCCTTGAACTCACTGTGTAGCCCAGGATGGCCTCAAACTGACACTGATCCTTCTACCACAGCCTGTGGAATGCTGGGATTACAGGCGTGCACCACCATGCCTGGCACTAACAGGTTCTTAAAAATCCCTTTTAGGAGGCAAGCATTTATTTCATCTGTGCTAAGTCTAACCCTGAATACAGTTAGTACTCATTAATTGGAAATTTTTGAATGCTTTATAAAATATTTCTGTAAATTTAAGACAAGCAGGGAAATTGGTATATATCTCAAGTGATACTTTGTTACTTATAACCCCCTTCCCCAATTAGCAAGCTGTCTTTTCCCTAAGTGTTTAGGTTTCAGTTAACTAGAGTGTGTCTTTTTTTTTTTGGTACCTGATCTAACTCAGGACCTTGTGCTTGCAGGGCAGGCCTGGTGCCCCTGAGCTACATTCCCAGCCATAGAGTGTATCTTATTTAAGCAACAAATGTTATTCATAATGTTGCCATTCAGTATTATTTGAATTTCTCAGGATACTGACTTGTGAAGTTGTAAAGCACTTGGAGATGTTCTTATGCCTTTAAACTCCCTTACACTCATGTGCTCATCCACACGCAGGTACTACTAAAATGGGATGGTCACAGGATGGCTTTAACGCCATTTCATAAAAATCAGTGTAAAAGAGGGAAGAATCACTTGATCTTTCCTTGGGAAAAGGAAAAGTATCAAACAGAAGTCTTTTAGTAAGACTTCTTAAAAGGGAACTGACCTAAAGTTCTGGAAGGCAAGACTTGTGAACCCAGTGGACTTGTGGGCATTAGTCTTAGATTCCTGCTCTTATATTAGTTGTTTTACTCCCTAAAGCGTCTTTACCCTTTTTAATATGATGGATGTCTTTGGTCCAAAGGGATATTTGAGAAATAATAAAAGACTGACAGATAAAAGTAAGGGAGATTCTGATAGAGGAAATTTGAATTCTTTGAACAAGCTCTGGTTTTTGTCCTTCAGGACACATCACTGTCTACTTATTAAAAGCCTGGTTTAGTTGAATACAAGAAAATAAGGCCTTGTTGTTTTAGGTAGACTATGAAATGGTTTTGGCTCAGCCATTGCTTAGCAAGTGTCCACGATTGACCTGACACTTCTTGGTGTACAGTTTAGGATTGGATACCCAAAGTTGACTCTCCTTTGTGGGAGGGGCTGTTTTTAAAACTAAGAGCTTACTGTGATATATCATTTTCCCTGTTTTGTTTAGTGTGTGTTTGCTACTTTAACATACTATTTTTGTTTCTTTTTCAGATGATTGTTGGAGAAACCCTGTCTGTTTACTGTAACCTTTTGCACTCAAATTCCTTTATCAGGAATAATTACATAGCCACTATTTACAAAGCCATTGGAACCTTTTTATTTGGTGCAGCTGCTAGTCAGTCCCTAACTGACATTGCCAAGTATTCAATAGGCAGACTTCGGCCTCACTTCTTGAATGTATGTGATCCAGATTGGTCCAAAATCAACTGCACTGATTCAGGTTACATTGAGTACTATGTATGTCGAGGAAATGCAGAAAAAGTTAAGGAAGCCAGGTGAGTGTTAAATCTCTACTGCTTATTTTACCTTTGGTATTGAAATAGAAGGTTCCAGTGACTGAAAGGTGAGCCATCCAATACCTTGAAGGGGAGAAGTAATCACTGGGAATTAATTGAAATCATATGTGTGATCCTTATTCTCTCTCTCATTCTTTTTCCTTGTTTTAATCATGATGTTTTATCTGTTTAAGAACATTTTACTGAAACTACTCATTGCTGATGCATAAGAATGTAAATTGAACCTTAGAGATCATTTAGAACAAGGTCAGCAAATTTTTTCTTAAGATGCTAGATTATAATATTTAAGGCTTTATGGGCCATATGCTGCCTTTCATAACTATTGAACTCTGCCATGGTAGCAGGAAAGCAGCCATAGATATTTGAGTGAAGGGGTGTGGCTGTGTTCCAGTAAAGCTTTATTTACACAAATAGCAGCTGTCCCAGGAATCATGGTTTGCTGAACCCTGATCTAACCCAGCCATTTGTGAAGCGCTGTTAGTGTGCTTACTTCAGCAGCACATACACTAAAATTGAAGCTCTGCTAGACCTGTAGTTTGTTTGTTTGTTTGAGGTTTGTTTTTTTTAAGTTAGAATCTCACTATGAGTTCAGGCTTGCCTTGAACTCACTATGTAGTTTAGGCTGACTTTGAACTCACTTCAATCCTCCTGCCTTAGCCTGCCAAGTGCTGGGATTTCAGGTGTGTGCCACCGTGTCTAGCAATCTTGTATCTTTAGAGTAAGTTTTTTACTCAGGTAACTTGGCTCGGATCTTGACAGTTCTTAGTGCTCATGCTCAGGTTGCCTCCTCCCCTCATCACCTGGGATGGGGACTGAACTCAGGCAGGGCCTGTTACAATGCTACGGAAGGGTTCTGCCACTGAGCTACATCCTCAGTTCAAAGTTGCCTTCTTACACACCCTTATTGGAATACTACTTATATCCTAGAGCACAGTGAGGCAGAAATGAAATAGAATAGGTATAGATACAGAATCCAAAAGGTCTAACTCCTTTAATTTATATGTAAGGAATAAAATGCAGGCCCAGTAACATTAAGTAAAGCCACTAATTATTGGCAGTGTCAGTTCCTTATCTTAACTCTTAGAATTGTCATCCTTGTGTTTTATATGGTTACCTTCTTATATTTTAAGGTAGCTATTAGTTTCCCTTACTTGTTTACCATCCAACAAATGCTGTCTCTGGGTAAAATATCCTGTGATTGCTTTTAAATGATTTCCAGACACTTTGCTGTCCCTTTTGGTTCTCTTGTAAGGAACATAGACCTACAAGTAATCCCCATTTTTCATGTTTAGTGTGGATGAAAAAACACCTTATTTAACTAGAGGATACAAAATACAGTATGCTTGAAATCAAGCCATGAACAAGATATCTCTGCTCCCCATCTTCATGGAGCTTAGTCTAATGGGGAAGATATCTGAAACAAATGGTTAGAATGGAAGAGAACCTTCCTGGGATAATGAGGCCAAAGAATGGAGAGATCAGGCTGTTGAATAGCAACTTTGAAGTGGTAAGGAGCACTGATATGGGTGTAAAATGTTAGTGAAGAAAGCAGAGTGACCAGAGTTAGGTAGTTGAGAAATAGATGGCAGAAAGTGATGCTAATTAGAACTCAGGTGAGCACGCATTTTTATTAAAGGGATAGAGGAAAAATGGTCCAGAAGTGGCTTCAAGAAGTGTTGCAGACATCACCAATACTGGAGTCTTAAGAGTGGTGGTGCACACCTGTAATCCCAGAACTTGGGAGGCTGAGGCAGGAGGATCGCTTCAAGGCCAACCTGGGCTACATAGTGAGTTCAAGGGCAGCCTGAACTACATGGTGAGACCCTGTTGCAAAACAAAAACAAAAAGCAACAAAACTGTATTCTTAAAATGTATGAGATATGGAATCTGTTTTTTGCTTACTAGGGCTGCAGAACCAAGCAATGTTATCAAGAAAGGCTCTTTAATTAGATGAATAAAGTAGTAGGGTGAACCTTCAGGGAAAAATTTGAAGACACAGGGGAGGATAGGTGATTTTCACAATAGAACTGGAATTCTAGAGTGTGTTGTAGAGGATGTGGGATGGAGGGGATAATCAAATGGCATGGTGGAACAAGAGGAAGCTTATTGGAATTGAGACTGATGTTTATCACAAATTATAAAAAAATAACAGCTGAGTAAAAATATATCATGAGAAACAGAATGAAATACAATAAAATGATCATGATTTCTTTTTCCACTTGCAGCTTTATCATAGAAGCTTTTAAAAAAATTCCAACTTGGTATGGATGGCACATGATTATAAGCCCAGCACTTAGACTGAGGCAGGAGGATCATGAGTTCAAGGCCAGCCTGGGCTACATAGTGTGAGTTCAAGACCAGTATGTACTACACAGTCATAGTTGAGACCCTGGCTTAAAAAAGAAAAAAAATCCATATCTGTGAATGTAATGATGAAAAAACTACCTCTAAGGATTTAAATCCCAGGTGGTGCTTGATTTAGTGTAGGGCTGTGGGACAATAAGCCCATCATTAGTTGGAAATATCCTAAATCAAAAGTATATTTAATGCATCTACCAGGCATCCTAGCTTAGCAGTGTAGTACCTTGAGTTGTTTCCCTTCTTGATTGTGTAGCTGCCTTGGCTTGCTGCCTTTTGATTCTACCCAGAATCACAAGAGAATTGTACCACATATCACTGACATGGAAAAGGGCCACAATTTGAAGTATAATTTCTACGTAAAGTTTCTGTGTAAAGTTGAAATAATGTAAATCAAACCACTGTACATTGAGAACTATCTTTATTTAGGTATATTCCCATACCATAACATCCGCCTATCTCATGTAGACAGTGGGATAAGCTTTGTGTAGAAAGGTATTTACCAAGACAATCACACTTTTAAAATATTTGCATTACACTAAAAAGTTTGCTCCTGAGCCTTTGCAGTTAATTCACACTCCCATCTGCTACCCCCAGATCAACATTCTGTTCTTAAGGTTATGTGTTTTCTAGGTAGTAAGAAGTATTGATGTGTATAGTGTATTTTTTCCCAGAATATCTTTTTTTTTTTTTTGGTGTCAGGAATTGAACTCAGGTCCTTGCGCTTGTGCAGCAGGCGGCGAAACCACTGAGCTAAATCCCCGGCTATAGTGTATTTTTTACCTAGAGCTAAATGAAGGATGTTTATTTTCAGTGATCGAAGACTAATCTGGGGTTAACTATCTGCTTCTTATCTGTCATTATTATCCAACTTTTGCAGTGTTGGCTCTTTGTTACTCATTTTTGCCCTTTTAGCATTCTTACCCCGCAGGGTGGAGAGTGGCACTCCCCCACTTTGATGACTGAAGCCCTGAGTGCAGTGCGGACCTCAACCTAGGACTTTCGTTCTTGGTTTTTTACCTTTCCACCAAGTCCTCTGCCTGGTGTCTCTGATATTATCTTTTGTGGACCGACCACCATAAAATAGGCAGAGAAACTAACTTTTCTCTCAGCCAAGGAGTTTAAGAAAGTCATTATGGTAATAAGTGTTTACCTGAGCTCCAGAAAATGTTTTTGAAATGATTCTTTTTTTTTTTTTTTGGTATCAGGGATCGAACTCGGGTCCTTGCGCTTGCATAGCAGGCAGCGAAACCACTGAGCTAAATCCCCGGCCTTGAAATGATTCTTAAAGAAAGGATGCAGATTTTTCACACACTGTTATTTCTGTGGTTCAGGTGCATAAATTTTAGCTCAGGATTTTCTTATTATGACATTTCATATTGATGAGATTTTTCAGCACAAGCCATTTTGGTAAAATGTAAAATATTTAATACAATTTATTAAAATGACAAAAAATAATTATTTTAAAATTCATATTTGTCACACACTCTCACTGTCTCTTCCTAGTATGTATAAATTGGCTGACATACAGTTACCTTAATTGTACTTTTGAGCCAAGGACATTTAGGCTTTTCCATCAGCCTTTAAAGTTTCTACATTAATGCATATGAATTATCCACTAGTCCTTTGTTAAGGGCTGGAAAACACCTTCTTTAAAAACTGTAAGGACATTGCAGAGGTATGTACATTAAAAACTGATTTCAATGAGGAGAGCCCTTGTTAAACTTTGGAAGTCTAAAACAAGGAGAAATAAATATCAAGTGGAAAAATGAAATTTTAGGAAGACTTTGTATCTTACAAAAATGCAGTTCCCATCATTGTTTCCAGAATGAGTCAGTTGTTGCCAGTTTCAGAGCTGGATGATATTAGCACATAATTGTGGCTTTGCATTGCTGTTATATTGTGGACTGTAGTTTAGCTGGATACAGCCTTTCCTTTTCCTTTTCTCTTGCATTTCAAAGGCCAAGTAAGCCAAATGGCAAAAACATTTCAAATGCAGTATTATCTATAGGTTAGAATTATGGTATAATTTGTTCTTTTATTTATCTTCCCAGCCTGATCCCTTTTATAATTTTAATTATAAAATTATAATGTTTGACATTGGAGAGAGAGGAACATAAGGTACCCGAAATGAGTCATTTTTGTTGACTGTGTAAATGAGTCAGAGTTACGTGTTAGGAAGAGAATATGCTCCCATAATTCTGGGTTTAGGTTTTGATTTTTTCCTGTTGGTTCTTTTATTTTCTTGCCACATGCCCCTTTCCTGCACTTGTGTTGCATGTTCTCACACTGTGTCTGCCATCACTGATATCACAGGACTTAGTATGGATTTCGATTGTGGTAGCCATTAGGTCCTAGAGATGAGAACATAAAGGGACTTTAATATATACTTATTAATTTTAATATCTAGAGAGTTCTGTTCACTGCTTAAATTAACACTTGCGAATTTGCTATAAATTAAATGGGCTGTGCTTGCAGGATTAGAACATCCAGTTGTTAAATCTGCTATTGCTTATTTCTTTTTTTTTTGTACTGGGAATCGAACTTGGGACCTTGCGCTTGTGAGGCAGGTGCCGGAACCACTGAGCTAAATCCCCGGGCCAAGTCTGCCATTGCTTATG